TAAACATGCATATGATTAGTCAATGTTCTTTATGCCTGGACCAAAGGTTAAAAAATATGTATGCTTCTATTTGACACAATCCAATTTGAACTAATTCACTTTATCCATTCACTTTAATTTCTTGACAAGGAGAAAGATGCTTTCTTATATATTGAGCTTCACTTTAGAAACTTTATTAGTAGAATTAGTTATTTAAGAGTTATTAAAATTACATATTTATTTCAATTGCCTATTAGTGACATAAACAATTTGAACTATATTGTTGTGATTAAGTATTGATTTTCTAAAATCTTAGTTCGTAGCCTCTAATATTACTGCTTATGGGATCGATATTCAGGACTCCATTAGAGCCTTGTATTACTTGAGTGATATGTATACTTGCGTTGGTAAATGTGACTTTGCAATTATTGAATATTTTATATACATCTTTATTGAATCTATAATCGCTGTCAAGTTTTTGGCGCCATTGTCGGGGAATTAAATCTTCTAGCAGCAGTATCAAATTCTTGTATTTTTAAGCATATATAAAGTCGCTGTCAGATATTAACAATCGATTGGCCAAGAAGGAAGCAAATTAAGTTCTCAAGTTAACACAACAACACTTTTAAATTCCAATCAAAGCCTAAAAAAATCTCAAATCCTTAGTCTTATCCAATCACTATCTCAAAGAGCAAAACAAGAAGAGTACTCGCTATTCATAATAAATCTCATCAAAGCAAACTTAGTTTTATGCATAAACATCAAAATCCAAGACCTTACAAAGAAGTTCTCAAGAAAATACGATGGAATTGTACTTTATCTCTTTCACAAACAAGTAGTATGAAGATGTCACTTACAAAAAACAATCAACTCTCTCAACCCTCTTAATCACTCTCATTCTCTTCTAATCTCTTTACATAAACTCTCAAGAATGAGAGAAGAAAAACAGTGAGAAAGCCCCTCTAGTTTTGTGCTTTGGCCTTTAATACATCTCTATTGCGAACCAAAGTTTGAACTACTCAAACTGTCAAAATTTAGGCGTTGGCATCGTGGAACCCATAGGTGGCGCAAGGGCACTACAATCTTTTGTTCCACGACAACTAGGCACTAGTGTCATGGTGCCTAGGCGCTGCAGTTTAAGCACCCTAGCGCTCCATTTCCAACGTCGGGTTTCCGTGCACTCAGAAGTTTCACCCCAAATCTGGCGCCTAGGCGTTGCAAGCTAGTGTTCCCTGTACAGCGCCCCAACACCGCATATGCAACACTAGCTTTCTGATCGCTTTGTATTTGCACTCCACAAGACCAGTTCTCACACCTAGGCACTAAGTCTTAGCACCTAGACGCCACAACATCACTTTGCTCTGATTGCCATATTTTGAACTCCAGTTGCTCGATTAACCTATTGCCTTCATTTCAACACAAAATACCATTCAAGAACATAACATAAACATGCAAAAAGACAAAATAAAGATGATAAATAAGCACATTATACACACATTTCACTAAACAACTTCCCAAGATTTGATATCCTTGATGCCAACTAATTCTTAGGATTTCACATTCTTAACATTGATTAAATATGAATTTACATATATAATTTATTAAACCCTGCCCCTGTTAAATTTTGCTTGTAAGCAAACAACTCAAATTTATACAATATAAACCAATTTAGTTATATCTTTTTTTAACTACTGTGCAACTCTTCATACTATTTATTATCATACAATATTCTTACCAATATTAATCTTACGCATAAACAGCTTTTTTTCTTGATCTTGTCAGGTCATTTTCTTCTAATTTTTTCTTTATTTTTTGTGTATTTCTTTGGAAATTTGAGGAGCCTCTGTGATGCTCATGCAACCATGTCTGGTGGACCTGACTCAATGTTCAATGAACCTTCTTCTGTAACTAAACATAAAGTATACAACGATCATCTTTTTATGTTATATATATATATATATAAAACATATATTTAAGATATTATGTTAATTGAAGCTATAAATAAATGATATATTTGTGATAATCCTCATTCTTTTGTGCTGCATATTTAATTTTTTGAGTAAATCGATGTTGTGTATCTTACCTTGCAATGCTCAAGACTTTGTATAACCATGTTGTTTTCAAGATAAGTAGGAGTAAAACATGATTGTAGACAAGAAAGTGCAAATAAAACCTACAAAAAAATTATTCCATATAATAATGAAAGCTTCTAAATCACAATCAATCAATTGCATAAAATGCAATGGTTGAAAATATGGATTACACCCACTTTGTATTGAAGAAAGCCAAGAGTACAATATGATTGTAGTCAACAAAGTCTACATAAATCATAAAAAATACCATTGAAGTTCATTACAAAAAGAAATTTAATCACAAATAATAAATAATCTAGTATGGATTACACCCACATTGTACTGAAGAAAACTAAGAGTACAACATGGTTGTAGTAAACAAAGTTTAAATAAATCATTAAGAAAACCTTTCAAGTTTATCATTGTAAGCTTTTGAGTCATAATTAATCAATAGTCTAGCATTGAATGGTTGAAAATATGGATTACAATCATACTACACTGAAGAAAATAAAAAATACAACATATTTGTACTCAACAAACTCTACATAAAACCTTGAGAATAATATTTCAAATCATCACTAAAATAACTTGGAGTCCAAATTAGCAAATTCCCTAGCATGCAATAAATGAAAATGGAGAAATGTGAAGTACGAAAAATTATTCCATACAAACAGCATATGCAGAAATGCATACAGTGTCTGATCTCTACCGTTTATCATAACAAAAATGGATAACGGTGGGCCCTATTTTTTTATTTTGTTTTAAGTTGATGGACAGTGAAGATCGGACACCGCATACATATCTGCATACAGTGTCCATATGAATAATTTTCCCGCGAAGTACAAGCAACTTGTGCTCAAGAAAAATAGGCGTACAAACGAAGTCCAAATATAACCTAGAACACTATTTAAAATAATCACAACAAACATTTGCATTGTGTTAACCATTAATTTCTAAACATAAAACTAAGCATCATAGCAATTAAGTATTATAATGAAATATGTTATAAATTTATCAATGGCTTGAACTCTACGTTTTCATTCATGTTAAAACTGTGCTTCTTCTCTAAAAGTCCTCTTTCCCATATTATTTTGAATTGTGAAGCATATTTTTTAAACCCCGTATAGAGCTACATTGGGTTAGGCTTCTCCACTGTTAATGTATTTAATTACAAAAAAATATGTTTCGACCGCGTGCCAACTTAAGATTGGAGTCTGGTTAAGTCAGGACTCTATATGTAATATTTTTCTCTCTAAGGGCGCGTTTATTATAATATTTGGAAGGTTCGTGTAACGAATATTATTATATTTTTCTTTACTATAATTTTCATATTACTTTTTAAAATTTTATTTAGTGAGAAGTTTTTCCTAATTAACCGTTCCTTATTGCATGCATGATAGCGATAAAAAAGGCATTTACATACATACCACCAAACTCTTATGTGTTTATATATTTAACCCCTAAACTTGACTTTTAACATTTACATGCCACTCAAATCTTTCACATCACATAAAAAATACCATCATTTTAACTTTTAAACCGTGAAATACACATTTTTCATGTACTAGTAAAGTTATATGCATGTAAAAATTGAAGTTTAGGCGTTAGACATGTACATACACATAGGAATTGAGTGATATGTATGCAAATGTTCAAGAGAGAGAGAGAGATGGCTTTTTTTTTTTTTTGTCTTAAAGAGGAAATAATGCTCATAATATATAATGTGTAATAATTTTGTGACAAGGAACCCGTTTTGTGATCCATGTGCATGCGAAGATCATTATAGGCACGCATTATAAGCTGACATAACCTACAACTTATATTATAGCTCCTCACTAGCAAATCAATTGAGATTAGTAGTGTAAACGAGTAGAGTCGGGCTCGAGCCATCCTCGGCTTGAGCTTGAGCTTGATTAATTTTTTCGAATTTGAGTTTGAGCTTGAGCTTGAGCTAAACTCTACGAGTTTGAGCAGGATCGCAGGCCGACTTGTTTTATACAAAAGAAAGAAAATAATATTAATTTAAATTTATTTTATAATAAGATGATAAATAAAATGAAAAATTAGGGGATAAATAATAAGAATTCACCTAATTAACAATGCAAAAATTTCACTTTCTTAACATTTTTAATACCCTAAAAATAATGTTTTGAAATTTAATATATTTTGAGCATATTTTATATTAATATTTTTTAAAAGATCCGACTCACGAACTTTGAGCTTGGCTTGTTAGCTCGTCGAGCTTAGTACACAAGCCACTTATCGAGTCGAGCTCGAGCCAACTCACTAGTCGGCTTGACTCACTTATACTCATAATTAAGACCTCAGGGCACGATCTCACAAACAGTTAAAGGTAATCATAAGCTTGTGCATGCTCCCCACACTTACACCTTGGTGAGCTAATAAATATTCCACCAAGCTAATGAAAATTTTTATTTATTGTATGAGTAATTAATTAATGTACCATAAAGCTACAACATGCATGTATAGTGATATCTGAAGCAACTTTAACCTTTTCTCACCTTTTTCTATCACTTGCTTTTTAAGCAACTTAGAAAAGTGCTTTTTATGATCAATTGATCAGATAACTGTGCCAGATGAAAGGTCTCATTCAATAAAAGCATTTCCTTATTGATTCTTATACATTTTACATATTCAACAATTAAAATTTGATATTTACATTTACCACACTTAGCTTTAAGCATTAAACAATAGTGATAATTTTGTTATGATGTCAAAAATCAAAGTTTAATGTATGTAAATATGAAATTTTAGATGTAAGATATGTAAATATATATGATATGTATGTAAATGCACTTAAAACAATGTCAAGAAACACATCTAATTCTAACTTAGATAAAAAAAGTGAATCAATTAAAGTGACAAAAACACATATTATAAATAATACATAAAAATCATAGGAATAAGAGTTCAATATTAAGTCACCATCATGATACATATTATAAATCATAAAAATAAATAAAATGTGCAATTATAATGACTTCCAGACTCCAATCCCAAGCTTGCAGCATTATTAGCTCCTGCCTCATCATTTCTGTCCACCATTCTTGTTGCAGTAGTTGCAGTTGTGCTGACACTGCCACCATGTAAAGGAAGCATGGCTCCATGATCATGACCTCCACCATCACCAAACCCATAACAGAGGCTTTCCAGCAATCTAGGGTTAGGGTTAGGGTTATGATTCAGTGTGAGGTCAGTGGGTCCGCTCAAGCTGGTCATTTTTGTGGTATTTTGTATGAGGAAATTCAGTTGAGGTTCTGGAGGAAGTGAATTCATGGATGAAGAGGATGAAGATTTCTTCTTCTTCTTACTGCTTCCACCAACTGTTATGTTTCTTAGGGTTCCTCCCTTTGTCCAGTATCTTCTGCAAGTCTTGCAGAAGTATCTGGGCTGAGAGAGGCTGTTGTTGTTGTAGTAGCAGAATTTGGTGTTTGTGGAATCACATCTAGGGCATCTCAGGGCTTGATTTTGTTGATCTTTTTGCTTCTTTTCATCCTGTTGTTCTTGCAGCAGAGAAGGTTTTGATGAATTGGCTGCCATTAGTGCCTGAGAGAAATACGTTGAGAAATTTATTATTTGCTTGAAGCTTGAAGGAGAGGAGAGATCAAAAGAAAAAAAAAAAAACACCATGATTTTTGTTTTTTCTTTATTAATATTTTTTTTTATGTGTATTAAAGTTCATGTGAAGACATCAAAACATGAAATTTTATTACCTGGTGATACCCATTAGATAGCTCCATCCATTGGAGGAGGTAGAGAGAGAGAGAGAGAGAGAGAGAGAGAGGGAGGGGGGTGAGGGAGAGAGAGAGAGGAGCCGAATGACTCAAAGGGAGATCTCTTTCTGTTGAATGAGTTGAGGGCTATATATATAATTAATTATAATAGAATTTTGGAACCATTATGGGTGTATTATTAATTTTGTAAGAAAAATTGCAAAATATTACTAGAATTTTATTATTAAATAAGAATATTTTCTTAAAGTATAGTTAGAAGTTATTTAAGTGTCATCATCATTTAAATAAATTATCTATATATTACTCA